TTCAGAACAGCTTGTAAATTTATCAGCTTTGAGTTCTTGTTAATTAACACAATAATATTAAAATAACCTAAAATTCATCAACATATGCACAAAATCCTTTGGCTAGGTGCCAGCAGGTTTCCAAACCTCAGGCATACCTGGAGAACTATTGCTCAAAAATGCTTTCAGGTGTTGGAGACAGTGCAGTTTCATTTCAGCAAACCACTACACACATCCCTGCATTTTGTAAATACCGTCATCTAGTTATATTTAATAATAAAACTATTCATATTGGGTCTAGAAAATGCTAGAAGCACTTTAAGCATCAATCAATTAGAGGGAAAAGATTATATCAGTAACATTCTTACTGCTCATATGAAAAAAGAGAGAGAGAGAAGGAAAGAGGGCAATACCAGGAAAGAATGATTACTCACCTCTCATAACTATTGTTCTTTGAGATGTGGTGTAGATGTTCATTACACTACATGTGTGGGCATCCCGTGCACCGGTGCTGACGAGTTTTCCTTAGCGGTATCCATAGGGGCCATGCCTCTGCCTGGTGCCCTCATGCTCCAAGCCAAGGGTCTAAAGGGCAGAGCCATGCTGCCCACCCTTCACTTCCTTCATACCCGACCCTCAGATTAAACATCTGGAAGTTTGGGGAAGGAGGGTGAGCTCTATGATGGACATGCAATGCATCTTGAAGAACAACAGTTATAAGAGGTGAGTAACGGTTCTTGCTTCTTTGAGTGGTTACATATGTCCATTAAACTAGGTGACTCCCGTGCAGTTTCCACTGGAGGTGGGGCTAGGAATCTCACTGGAAGAGGGACTGCAGAACTGCTTTCCCTACATTAGTATCTTCCCTTGACTCGGTGGCAATGACAATGTCTCGATCACATTGCTGCTCTACAAGTGTCCACAATAGGGATGTTTCCTACAAATGTTGTGGATGTTGCGTGCTCTGGTTGAAAGCACAGATGGTGTTTCTTGAGCGGTGGAAACCTTAGTGTTGTAGCACATGACAACAGAGCTGATGATCCACTTGGACAATCATTGTTCTGCATAGGAGACTAATAGTTGAGAAGAGATCTGAAAGGGCTTCATTCTATCTAGAGAAAAAGCCAGAACATCCAGAATGTAGAGCTTTGGTTCGTCCTTACAAGCTTGTGGCTTTGGAACGAAAACCAGTAAACATACTGACTGATTGAGATGGAAGACATATACTCCTTTGGAGAGAAACTGTGGCCTAAGCTATATCTCGTCCTTAACAAAACAGTATATGGAGGATCATGGACATGCAGCTCACCTACTCTCCTCATGGAGGTGACGTTCACTAAAAAGACCACAAGCAGGAGGCTAACAGACCAAAAACGGGGACCCATAAGGGCAGATAACACTAATCCCATTTGAGAGGGTGAGAAGCTAAAGTACCTTACTTACAGCTTTGATTAATGTTGGCCATATTCACCTCTTATAATGCTGGTGTAGCAAAAGAGATCAACTCTGGGTAAGATATCAGTGATTTTTCAGGTAGGACTCCAGCGCTTGAACTGCAGGTATGGTGTAGCCTACACCTCCATCAAAAGAAAATCAGCCAACCAGTTCAGGATTGACTTTTGGCAACATTTTAAGTAAGTTAGGGCAGGAGAGAGGGTAACTCTAACTATAGCAATAGCTCACTTTTGTATGCTTCTTTCACCTCTTGTTTCCTGCTATATTTTCCAGTGCTATTTGCTCCAGTACTAAGGGAAGCTACTTTTCCTTTTATGCTAACAAAAACACATTTGAAGTGAAAATTTGTAGTTAATATTTAAAAGTAAACTAATGCACAATCCCAGGAGCAATTTACTTACCATGTTAATATATTACTCTGCAAGCAGAGATTTAAGAAAAAAATCTCAGTAGCATTCTGCATCTGATGCTCCACTGACCAGGCTATTACATTTGGAGCTAAGGTTAAAACTTCCAACACAAGTTATTCCACTAGCCTAGGCATAGCAGGGGTGTCAGGTCGTTGTCATGTTTGGGGTATCATCCTGCAAAATGTCGGCAGAACAAGGCATGTTAAAAATAAAAGTGACAGGATGGCCTTGTATTTGTTTATTTAGCTCAGAACTTCAATGTTGTTTTTAGGCAGGTTTTTTGGATATGTCAAATTTGAAATGTCACTCGTGACACACAGCAGATGAAGTGTAAAAAGTGAGTCGGTTTAGTAAGATGGACAATGCCAAGTGCAAATATATAAAAAATAAAAATGAAGAGCAGGAGGAGTTTGAAAGATTGCATGGAGTAATAATGCACTTTCTAAAAACATCCAGCAGCTATCCCTTAGGAATAGCTGACAGAATGTCAGACTACAGCTAGTTCAGGACTGTGAATTCTAGAATTCCTTTCGTCATCTCATTGTGAATATTTATTTCTCAATCACTTAAAAAAATCTTGAAATACTATATAGAGATGCCATGAAACTTTATCCTAAACTGCTAGAATAAAGAGTATGGCAACTGGTCCAAAACCTAGTATATAGCACAGAGCCAAAAGAAAAGACAATAACAAGAAGGTTATTAATCAACTATTAGAAAACCATTTTTTATATATAGCAACTCAAATAGCTGGTGTTAACCTCCATTTGACCTGCAGGAGATTTACATGGAGAGCTGCAACATTAGCATGCAGACTGCTGGAAGAAAACAGGCCTCTGTGAAAAGTGGCTTTTTTACGTCAGATTGAGAAAAAAAAGATGGTAACGTGTGAGGAGGAGGATGTTGTCATCATCCAGGGAAGCCTGTGAAGGGCTTTAAGTAGGATCATGTCTGCTCCCTTCTCTTGAGAGGGGCCACATTCGCTCATTCTCAATATGGTCTGCAATTCAGGGGGCTGTTTTGGTCCCTCACCTTCCTCCTAGACACTCAGGAACTGTGGTCAAGAGTATTTGTTTTTTCAATCTGCAACTAGCTAAGTTAGGCTGACCTTTTTCCTTAGATATAGCCCTTCCCACAGTTATTTATACCTTTGTCATGTCTAGGATGAGTATTATAGTGCTCTACCTAGGACCTAAGTTCCCTCTAAGCTATATGGCCGCCCAGCAGTCTATCCAGTGTCTTGCACTTCAGGTACCCCTCCCCCCACTGCTGCGCTACTCCTTCCCTCTGCCTTGGAGCCCTTGGCCAGCTGCTCCTGAGAGCCTCCTGCTTGCTGTGCAGAGCGGAGGCGGGGGAGGGGGGGGAGAGAGAAGGGGGCACTGATGTCAGGGTGTCCCCTTCCCCCTCCCCCACCCCTGTACCCCATCTCCATAGAGCAAAGGAGGGGACATGACAGGGTTCAGGAGTGGGACAGAGCTTGCTGGCAGCTGCTTCTCTGTCTGAACAAACAGGCTTCAGACTGGTGAGTGCCAATCTACTTAAACGGGCAGCATACTTAAAGGGCCAGCATGCGTCTCTCTCTCTCACACACACACACTCAGTGTGTGTCTCTCTCTCTCTCACACACACACACACACACACACAGAGTCTTTCACACTCACCTCCCAACACATACTTGTATTATTGTGGTTGTTACTTCTTGATACTTCCTGCAATGCACACATATTCTCTGTAATTTTATTCTTTCAAAGTGCTGTTATTTTAGTTTTTTTATTGGTCTATGCCTTTCATAATTTTTATTTCTCTCTTACGCTTACATTTAATTCTTTGAGTAGTGAGTTCTAAAATGCCTAATCTGTCTTGGCTGGTGTAATTATCCCTATAGGTAACTTTTTAAAAATATATATCTAGTTTTTTGTTTCTACTGGTGGCACATATCCGCACATTACCTCAATATTGATACACATAACAAAATTCAATCCGCACATGGATGGAAAAAATTAGAGGGAACATTGCCTAGGGCTACTCTTGAATACCATCATGGAACTTCAGATACTGCTGCATTCAACAGCCTTCTGCTTAGCAACACTAGTCATGTTGAGGACATTACAACCTATAGCCTGTTTGTTGTTATGCTTCTGGTTTGCTTCAAAGTGCAATACAAGGTGTTTACTTTAAAGCCCCACGAGACCTGGTTTCCGAATACTTTGGGTCCTGTCCACACTAGAGAAAGTTCAGTGACATGGAGACCTCATGTAGATGGGCTACAGCTGCTACGTGCGTTTTAAAGCACTATGTCAATCAGCTCTACCAAGAGCAGGGTTAACTGACACAGAGCATGAAATTATGGTGATAGCCAGTGGCCTATTTACACCAGGACTCCCAATATGGCTGACAAGGATAGCGCTAACCTGGTGTTAGCAATGGCAGGAAAGATTCAGAAAATTTCCCTAGTGTAGGAAGAGCCTCAAAGACTGCCTCTCTCCTTACCTACCCCCTTCTGACAATTGGGATCAGAGCATTTGTTAGTCCCAGGGTTTGAGTTTTCTAGCTTTCCAACACATTGCTCTGAGAACAAGCCTCATAAAGTGGCAAAGAGCTGCACAGACAGCTGTGAAGGAAAGCTTGCAGGCTGCCTATTCACACTAAAAAAACTACTCAATCTCTTTTGTAAGCTCTAAAAATTCACAGATAAAAAGAATAAAATTACATAAGAGTAACTGGCAACAGAACAACTCGAACAGGGATGGCAATAGCAGCAGCAACTATCTTTATCTTCCAAAAGTTTTTTTATGCTTCTCTTAATGTTGCCATGACTTCCTTGGTTTGCTGATTTAAACAGCAAACCCTAGCAGTAATTTAAAAGGACAATTTAAATTTAAATTTCAATGGGCAGTTTTAATTGCTGAAAAATACTCTCTCACTAATACCATGGCTGCACAGCAATCTCTCTTTTTTTGTAGCAATTTTAAATATTAACTGATACTAAGAATTAGGAAACCAAGTTGAAAAGGCACATTTGTTATTAAGTTCCTCTGCACAAAAAGCAAGTCGAGAGCCAAGTGAGAGTGTGTACTGTGTTCCTTAATGCACCATATGCACAGATAGCATTAGCTGGAAAGGTGGGCGGGAGGGAAGATATAAAACAGAATTTACCATCTGAATTTCTTCAGGTGACAGTTCATCTTCACCTTTGCCATCCCCCCACAGCCCAAAGTTGGAGTTGGCATCTGTCAGATTCTGATCTGTAAAGATAACCAAAAATCCCAAACACATCAGCATACTGAAATGTGAAGCTACAACCACCGCTTACTCATTTAGTATCAACTATCAAATGATTAGATTTCATTTCTAGTTAATTGAGATTCATGCTCTACATCTATCAGCAGTTCACACCGCTAAGGTACAAGTGCAGGGCTGGGGCCAAAGATTTATACACCCGCTTAATTTTGTCACTGGGAGGAGCTGCATTGAAGTATGGACGTTGCAGCAAGTAGAACTACTCATAGCGCATAAAGTTAAGCCCGTGCAGAAGCCTTCGCAGCATCGTTTCCTTTCTCAGGAAACGAGACATCTGTAAAAGTCGAAACAAAGTAATTTCTCCCATAATTTGCACTTTAACAGAAATATATGTACACTTTTGAAATTGACACCAACTGTATGAAGCCATTACCTTTCCTGAGATTTCAGAAAACCACCTCCTTGCTACTCACATTATTTTGCAAAATTAAACCCAGAACCTCATTTCAAAATATTAGCATAAACCTCCCAAGACTGATTTCGTTTCCTTATGTTGTTGACTCTGAAGATTATGGCCCCAATCATGCAACTGATTCCTCACAAAGGGTCTGCCTACATGCAACAAGTCAGATCAGGCTCCATCCTGCAATCACTTAACACCAATTTTTATTTTTTTACATACTGGAGCAGCCCCATTCATCTCAATAGGGCTACTCTCTCATAAGTGAAGTTGCCTATTGATTTGCAACACTGGGACCTAAAACATCTTAAATATATAAGTTCTGAAAATGGAGTATACAACAGAAATTGAAGTTTAAGATTAACTACTACAAGGTACTTCTGTACAAGGAGAAAAATACCACTTTCTTTTCATTCCTTTTATCTCAAAGGAATCAACTGATTCTGACATTTTGTCTGTTTTGGCAAGAAGCAGCATCAGTACCCAAAGTGTCGGAGTTTTTACCATATCCCTGGGAGGTTCTTTACTACCACACAACTGGGACGTTGTTACAAGCCTCAGCACAGAGATCTGTGCCATCCCACAAGGGACTCTATGCCTTGGTTGCTTAGAGTTACCAGATTCAAGTAACAAAACTAAGATGCAGAAAGGATTTTGTTTCACTTTTTAGTAGGTTTTGGAATTGCTGTTAATCATAATATTTTTCCTTATTTAGATGCTTAGATACTTTTTTATTTGATTTATTGTAATTGTTTATAATCTTGTATCTGAATGTTTTCAATTAAATAAGCAATGTTGATGCATCACTCTAAGAAACCAGGTTTCAGAGTAGCAGCCGTGTTAGTCTGTATCCGCAAAAAGAAAAGGAGGACTTGTGACACCTTAGAGACCAACAAATTTATTTGAGCATAAGCTTTCGTGAGCTACAGCTCACTTCATCGGATCCGATGAAGTGAGCTGTAGCTCACGAAAGCTTATGCTCAAATAAATTTGTTGGTCTCTAAGGTGCCACAAGTCTTCCTTTTCTTTTTTCTAAGAAACCAGCTTCTCTTGGGAAACCTCTGACAGCAGTCTGTTTAAAAACAATTTCATGAGAGATATTTTAAGGGGATATTTTCCTCTTGCTCTTTGTTACCAGAACATCTGCATGAAACCCATCTTTTTTTTAAAAAAAACGCTTCTGTTACTGCTCATTCCTTCTCCAAAAATTATAGGACTGGTTTCTGACATCACAACTGGTTTCTGTAGAAATGTTTGCAATGTTACAAACAAGGGATTGTGAATGAGCAGCAGGATCAGCTTAGCTCTTATGAAAACCAGACTTTTTGTTTCTTACAAGTGCCCTAACTAATAAAAGCAAGTTAAGATAAGAAAACATATAAGATTGTTTACAAATAATTCTGGTTATATTTTCCCTGGGGCATCATCAGCTCTTTACATGTATTTCACAGAGACATAAATCATTTTATTTAGATGTTACACCAAAATTATAATGAATACACGTCACTTCAGGAAAATATCCTGTTCAGTTTTCAGTGAAGTAGTTGTTCAAGATTTCATCTGTCATTCTGAGCTTATTCACTTGATTCAAAGAAAAGAGGATAATTAGTTTACGGAACTGACTATAAAATAATAATAAATATTCCCTTTTTTATCCCCAAGGAACCAATTATTTACAGGCACTGCCAATACTTGGCAAGAAACAGTACGTGTATCCAACAAGTTCATTAATAAGCAAATACTTATTTGGTATAGGTAAGGTAAGCAGCAGGTGAGAGACATTCTCTCATCTTCCCAGATTTCAGAGTAGCAGCCGTGTTAGTCTGTATCCGCAAAAAGAAAAGGAGTACTTGTGGCACCTTGGAGACTAACCAATTTATTTGAGTATAAGCTTTCGTGAGCTACAGCTTGCTCTTGTCACTACAGCACGTTTCCTGCTACTGGGAAAGCAGATTTTGGGCTTTCCTGGGGTATACCTTAATGCTGCTCAATGATTATGATTCATCTAGCAAAACCTAGAGAAAGAAAAATATCTATTTCCTAGGATTGCTGAAATAAAGTACTTCATATCTCTGTTGTTTCTGAAAGATGCATTAACTGTTTTAAATAACTATCAAATTCCTTTTAACCCATTTCCAAACTGGTTTACTTCACACTGAAATGAAAGAAGTGCTAAAATGAAGGATTAATTCAGAAGCTATAATTTATATTTCATGCCATAAACAAACTGTCCTGTTTGTAATAAGCAAATCAAAATTGGGCAATATATAATCTTTCAAGACTTATCAAACACCAAATGGGCGTTTCCTACAATGATCCATGTTTTTTATAATTCTGATGTAAAAAAGGTGTTCAGTATCAAAACAAAGTAATCTAATCTGCCAGAGAACAGACTAAACGATGATGAACTCAGGAAAAAGATTCATCCAAGATTCCAAATGTTCTAACAAAGGGCAGAGTACGTGCGGATTTGGGCGAGAGCTATGCTCCCAGCAGGGAACAATCTTTGTAGCACAGATGTTTGTGTAAGAGTGCCCAGAGGCTATGGTGATAGACACTTCAGAAATGCAAACGATCACCATTCCCCAAGCTACTGATACCCCATGGAAAATATTCTATTTAGAAATAACCTTGATTCTATTTTTTCAATTTTCTTTTGTTTGTTTTTTATTACAGAAAACACTTCTACGAAATGAAAGGTCAAAAGATTTAAACTCACAATCCTAGTCTCTAAGGTGCCACAAGTACTCCTTTTCTTTTTGCGAATACAGACTAACACGGCTGTTACTCTGAAATCCCCTATTGATAGCATCACCATCATTTTCACTACTGTGATGCCATAATGAAAATTATGGTTTTATAAACAATAGCAGCAAACTCTTAAGTCAACCTCATACAGTCAACAAAGAATACGGGGTGTAGGGTGAGTGGGGGTAATGTAGGCGTGTACAAAATATTCCAGGTAGAACTATTTTCAGAGAGACCTCACAGTGTTCTCAAAGAGTAATTAGCATCTCTAAGAGCTCTGCATCAGCTTTACTTATATAATAAAACACACTTTTAGCTACTTGCTTCTAAACAATTAAAGGTAGGCTAATAATGAAAATAACTAGCACAATCAAGTCTGAAATGCGGTGAAAGGTGCAATAAGTGACACCTCTTTGCAGTGTAATCTTGTTATCAGATCTGATGGCCCCAGGCAATCAAAGACTAGAGTCTCTTGTGGCATGACACAGATTTCTGAGCTGAATATTATAACCGTGCTCTGGACGATTGAGCTGCACAGAGTTGTCCAAAATTGCAGTGGTGTCCTAGGCGTCTGGAACCACACAGAACCACTGACGCTACTACTACATTGCCGGTTCTCTGCAGGAGCGCCTCACAGCTGTAAGGTGCTGATAATATGAGCTAAGGAAAAACATGACTTTAACCTACATGCTGCATTGCTCAGACTTACTATGGAAATGTAGGTTTCAGAGTAACAGTCTCTACGTAAAAGAATAAATGGACACAAATCAGATGTCAAGAATTATAACATTCATAAACTAGTCGGAGAACACTTCAATCTCTCTGGTCACGCAATCACAGACATGAAGGTCGCTATCTTAAAACAAAAAAACTTCAAATCCAGACTCCAGCGAGAAACTGCTGAATTGGAATTCATTTGCAAATTGGATACTATTAATTTAGGCTTAAATAGAGACTGGGAGTGGCTAAGTCATTATGCAAGGTAGCCTATTTCCTCTTGTTTTTTCCTACCCCCCCCCCCCCCACAGATGTTCTGGTTTAACTTGGATTTAAACTTGGAGAGTGGTCAGTTTGGATGAGCTATTACCAGCAGGAGAGTGAGTTTGTGTGTGTATGGGGGTGGGGGGGATGTGAGAAAACCTGGATTTGTGCTGGAAATGGCCCACCTTAATTATCATGCACATTGTAGGGAGAATGGTCACTTTGGATGAGCTATTACCAGCAGGATAGTGAGTTTGTGTGTGTGGTTTTTGGGAGGGGGGGTGAGGGGGTGAGAGAACCTGGATTTGTGCAGGAAATGGCCCAACTTGATTATCATGCACATTGTGTAAAGAGTTGTCACTTTGGATGGGCTATCACCAGCAGGAGAGTGAATCTGTGTGGGGGGGTGGAGGGTGAGAAAACCTGGATTTGTGCTGGAAATGGCCCAACCTGATGATCACTTTAGATAAGCTATTACCAGCAGGACAGTGGGGTGGGAGGAGGTATTGTTTCATATTCTCTGTGTATATATAAAGTCTGCTGCAGTTTCCACGGTATGCATTCGATGAAGTGAGCTGTAGCTCACGAAAGCTCATGCTCAAATAAATTGCTTAGTCTCTAAGGTGCCACAAGTACTCCTTTTCTTTTTTATGGAAATGTAGCATGTACCATAAACAGACACTCACAGTCTGCAGCTTTATGTCTTTTAGCAGGGTCAATTTGAGAAGAAAAAGCTTACTGTAAAGTTTCAGAAATGTAGCTGGTTAAGTAGATAAAACTACAGCATCTGAGGATTAAAATGTTTGTATGTGCTGAGGGACCATTCAAAATTAAAGCCTTCATTCAGAAATGGAGTTTCCACTTCTCCCCAATCATCCTTCCGTATGACATGTAAAATCACTGCTCAGAGGGGCTTGCCTCTTTCACCAAAATTGTTTAAGAAAAGCACTCAATAGCTGATGACCAGAAATACCCTTCTGATTAATAGACTGTCTCCATGTACATATTCCCCTCTATCAGATGCAGTCTGACCCAAACTTCAAGTAACAGTCATCCCACGTTTTGTTTCCCTCTAAACAGAATTTCAGTGCTATATATCATATTCATACAGTACCCAGGCTCTTCTATCAGATCAAACGGCAGAACTAATGCTGGAAAAGCACTTGTTTCCATAACATCATTTAGAAAATAGAGGTCCCTTTGGGGATGAACCCTGAAACTATCCTTGAGGTTGCTGGTACTGCACAGAAAGGCTTCCTGCAAAAAAGTTCTGCCAGTTTACCTGCCCTGATGCAGACTTAGAATATGCTTACACTGCAAAAAAAAAGGTGTGCTTTTAACTTGCATTAGCTAACCCACCTTAGCCAACTCAGCTTAAAATAGCAGCAAAGACACAGCAACTCAGCTTTTAATTCAAGTTAGCAACTTAAATTCAACCTCAGGCTCCCTAACCTGAATTAAAAGCCAAGATGCTGTGTCTTCATTGCTATTTTAACCAGAGCAGGCTAATGCAGGTTAGGTAACCTGAGTTAAAAACACTTTTTTGGGAGAGAGGGGTGGTTTGCAGTTTAGACATACTCTGAGAAAGCTATCTTGACAGATAGAGGAGAAAAGTGAGACACATCTCACAGGCTCAGGCAGACACCTTTAGAGAATTTCTAACACTATCCTCAGGCTCCAGCCTAAAGGGAACTGGCTGAATTGAATACTTATCCTAAGTACCATTTTTAACAACCTCGCTATCAGGCAATGCTCATCTACTGATGGACAGGACACAATCCTTTCAGAGCAAAAATCAGGATTGTGGTTCACAGGAACCAGATATTTGCCATCCCATCTGCCTCCTCTCCCTCAATTCACACACACTTTTTCTTAACATTCCAAATCTTTGTTGTAGGTGCTAGATTGAGTGCCTCCCTTGGGCTTTAAAAGAGCAGATGTTCTTTTAATAATATAGGAGGCTAATTTTCAGACAGCCTGCCCTTTTATCAGTTAAGGAAATTCTACAGAATCTTACAGGACCTCAGGGCAGATGCATTTAGAGGAGTACTAAAAAAGTGAGAACCAAGATATTCACAGAGTTGGTTTAATACGGGTTGAGCTGTCATATCCTAAATATTGGGGGAAAAAAATCAGGAAATTATAAACAACCAGGGAACAAAGGCTTTTGGGAAAGTTTATAGTGATCTCTGCTGGCAGCTCTGCGTGGAAAAATGTGCTTCAAAAAAAAGTTTTTGCCATTGGCTGAAGAATGCTTCTGAAACATGCCACAAAGTTTAAGACTTTGCTGCCTCACTCTCAGAATCTGCTTTGCGACAGCCTGGTTACCATAGGAAGGGAGAGAGAAAGAAGAGGAGGTAAAAGTGACAAGAGGAAGCCTTACAATAGCTCTGTGATCTGAAAAAAGAAAAGGAGTACTTGTGGCACCTTAGAGACTAACACATTTATTACAGCATAAGCTTTCGTGAGCTATAGCTCACTTCAGAGTGAGCTGTAGCTCACGAAAGCTTATGCTCAAATAAATTGGTTAGTCTCTAAGGTGCCACAAGTACTCCTTTTCTTTTTACGGATACAGACTAACACGGCTGCTACTGTGTAATCTGTGATCTGAGGAAGGTATCCAGTTGGGTGAAGAGTGCCTGCCACAAAAGTAAAAACGAATAGGATTGGATTCTTACCTTTGTTTTCCTCATAAGCAGGTTTTTCTTCAGATTCTTCTGAAGAATTCTTTACAATTTTTTCAGGGAAAGAGGATGCTTGAGCTTTATTGCTCTGTTCAGGTTCAAGCCTGGACCTACAACACAAGAGCCCATAATTTAACTAAGTTTATACAGCTGATTCTCCCTAAAATGAGAATAAGGAGTTGATCAAAGATTACTTAGAAATATACCATACAGTAAAGTCAGCCTTACAAAACTCTTACGAAAATTTACCAGCCAAGACACAAAATCTATTTACCACCCTTTACCATGATGTTTGAGAATAATAAAGAAAATGAAGGACATTTTACTCACTCCAGAAAAAAATAATTACTTGCTCAGGGTAAGCAAAATATTGTATCCATTTATTGCAGCCTTACTAAGGATTACAATGAACTTCCTTTGATAAACCTAGCATATTAAAATGTCAATTCTAAACTAATTTGTTTAAACAGTCCTCTAATACCAAACATGCTTTCTGTTTGGCCAATGGCCAATTCAACATTACTTTTCAAGTAATCTTTGAGTTCTTACTGTATATATTGTCAAAATATCATCAAGCAAAGGTAACAAAATATAAACTCTGAGCATCTGGTTTCAAACATAATTATCTTTATTCAGCAAGCCAACGTACTCCAGTAGTGCAGCCAGTAAAGGAAAATTAATCTCACATATACTGTTTGCCAAAGAGCATAGCAGATACTTAGAAGCAAATCAAGAAAGTTTGTATGTGATGTACAGATTTATTGTAAAGTAACTCCCTGCAACTGTCTGTAATATTAATAAGTGTGCTATGAAAAGAGCATTGGGCTGGGACCAGGGGTGAAAGTAACTTAAAGGACTTACCTGTATTCCGGAGTCCTGAGCAGGGGGGCGTAGCTTCGACAGGAAGAGGCGTGGTCTCAACCAGAAGAGGCGGGTCCTTTAAATACCCGGGCCCTTTAAATCACCCCCAGAGCTACCAGCTGCAGAGGCAGCTGGGAGCCCCGGGGCTCAGGGGCGATTTAAAGGGCCCCAGGATCTGGCCGCCGCTACCACAGCAGAGCTCTGGACCCTTTAAATCACTGCCAGAGCCCTGCCGCCACTACCTCGGGGCTCTGGCAGTGAGGCTTGGGTGGCGCTTTAAAGGGCCCAGGAGCTCTGGCCGCTGTGGGCAGCCCCGGGGATTCAGAGGGGCTGATTTAAAGGGTGCGGGGCTCCCCGCAGCGGCCAGAGCCCCTGGCCCTTTAAATCAGCGCTGAAGCCTTGCCACCACTACCCCACGGCTCCGGCAGCGGGGCTCGGGGGGCACTTTAAAGGGCTCAGGGCTCCCCACAGGAGCCGGAGCTCCTGGCCCTTTAAAGCGCGGCCGGAGCCCTGCCACCGCTACTCCAGGGGCTCCAGCAGTGGGGCTCGGGCAGCACTTTAAAGGGCCTGGGGCTCTGGCCACTGCGTGGAGCCTGGGGCCCTTTAAAGCACCAGCCTGGGGAAGCCGGTCTGGTCCGGCACGGCATACTGGCTCTTGCCGGTACGCCATACCGGACTGGACCGGCTTACTTTCACCTCTGGCTGGGACTTAGGAAACATGAATGGCATCCTCAGCTCAGCCACTGGCCTGTTTAGTGATTTTGGGCAAGTCACATCATCTGTAAAATGGGGATAATGATGCTGACCTCATTTGTAAAATGTTTTGAGATCTATTGATGAAAAGAGCTACATAAGATCTAGGGATTAATTAATGTATTAATTATTATTATTAAAAGACCAATTAAAATATCAGTTATTTATTCAGCGATCTCTTGCTAAATATCCGTCACACATATTTCTCCTAAAAAAATACAGAAATAGAGTAATAGTGGAATTTAAAATGAGCAGTAAACTTCAGTGGTTTGTATTTGTCAGCTATGAACTCTAATAGCAAGGGACTGGAGGACTGAAGCTAAACTGGTATGCTGTTATATGGAGAAACTAAATAGCAGATCTGACCTCTTTATATTTTTTCAAGTATTGATGAAAATTTGCTACCCAAGAATGCAAATGACTGATAAAAACTATCAGGCAATAACACCTGCCAACCCAGTGCACTAGGTATTGCAGTAGCTTTCTCTAACACACAAAAAATCTCACATATGACCTTTTACTCTGTCTAAATACTTGTGTATAATTCCTTTGGTATGTACCCAGTTAGGATATTAATAAAAAATGGAGAAAGTGGGATAAAAAGTCTAATCTGCTCATTCTCACTATATTTAAAACAAGACAAAAAGAGAGGTAACATGAACTCTGGTCCTATAAATTAACTACAAGAACTGGGTCTTGGGGGAAGCATGTACAGTAAAAAAAAGCCTCCTGCATCTGTACTATAGATAGAAATCTATGACTTGCTGAAGATGACAATAACAATTTGCATAATTGCTCTGAAAAACAATACAATACTAATTCCCCATGTAAATGAAAACTAACTTGAGTTGAATAAAAGATCTGTTCTCTCTTTAAAAGCTGTATCCACTGCCAGAGTTTGCAGTCTGTACCTATGAACAGTTTATAATAGGAGATAAAATATAATTTTAAATATCAATTAATATAACTATTTTTAACTGATTAGGCACATTTCATAAAATCGTAGCAATGTAGGGCTGGAAGGGACCTTGAGAGGTCATCATGTCCAGCCCTTTCTGCTGAGGCAGGACCAAGTAAACCTCGACCATCCCTGACAGCTGCTTGCCCAACCTGTTCTTAAAAACCTCTAATGATGGGGATTCCGCAACCTCCCTTAGAAGCTTGTTTCAGATCTTAACTACCCTCATATCTAACCTACATTCCCTTTGCTGCAGATTAAGCCCATTACTTCTTGTCCTGTCTTCAGTGGACATGAATAACAATTAATCATATTCTTCATTTAACAGCTTTTAACATATTTGAAGACTATTACCAAGTCCCCCACAGCCTTCTTTTCTCAAACTAAAGGTTATTTTGAATTCTAATCCTGTCCTCCAAAGTGCTTGCAACCCCTCTCAGTTTGGCGTCATCTGCAAACTTTATAAGCATACTCTCCGTTTCATTTTCCAGTTATTAATCAAATGCTGACTCGTACTGGTCCCAAGACTAATCCCTGCAGGATCCCACTAGATACACTCTCTGTTTGACAGCAAACCATTGATAACTACTGTTCGAGTACGGTCTTTTAACCAGTTATGTACCCACTTTATAGTAATTTAACCTAGACTGCATTTTCCTAATTTGTTTATGAGAATATCAGAGGGGACTGTGCCAAACACCTTATTAAAAATCAAGATATATTACATCTACTGCTTCCTCACCATCCACTAGGTCAGTAACCTAGCAACATAAAATGGAAGGGTAACAGCCCACTTCTCTTAACATTCATTTTGGGAAATTAGTCGAATCTAATTGGCAGAAGTTTTGAATACACAAAGCCAAATTATATTATGTCAGGAAATTACAACACCCAGATAGTTTGTTTAAGATTTAGAATGCTCATCTAAATAAAGAGAAACAAGATTTACTTATATAATACTAAAAAAGGCTCCTATTAACAAGCATATATTTAATGCCTGCTAAACTGCAGTAAAGAAGATCTGATGAAGGATTAATTGACTTTTAAATAAATATATCCCTTTATTTTTTGTAATCCTTACCTTCCAGAGTATGCTAACATACCCATTTTCAATTAACAATTAATAAAAAGTCTGCAATGCAGCAGACTTTAACAAAACCTAGTTTAAATAATAAAACAAATTGTTATTATCACATGAAGTGTCTACTGAAATCCTTAGGGAAATTACAAATCAACTAGTTGAAGGCATATGAAAAAAAACAATTTTTCTTTAAGTCATCAGAAAGATTGGTTTATGCCCTGTGATTTATTTAAATTGAATTTTAATTTAAATAGCAATTTAGCTATTGCATCACATCTGCAGTGCATACAGCCTCCACCTGGTTAACATCTGTTTTCTGGTCCTTACACTGGGTAAGACTGGCAAAACAACATATTTTGGTCTTTTACTCAAGATTTTATTTAAGTGTTATACTGTGGTTTAGCCTTGAGAGAAGTTCTAACTTCTAGTGTATCTCTTTTGCTCCATTGTTAGCGCACATAAAATTGATTTGTTTTCCCCATTTACTTCAATGAGGCATCTTGAAAATGGGCTTCACATGGAGGTGATAGCACAACAACATGGTGAGCAGAATAGCAGGGAACATTTATTAGCTTAATTAGATGACGGCTGGAATCAAACTGTTTTTTTCTTCAAAATTCAATATGAAGAATACTGAATCTGACAAGATTTTATGCCTAATGTGCAAGACTTTATTGCTGGGTTGGTTTTTTTCCATTGTGTTGTATGAGAAGCTGCCTCTCAATGGGTTACAAAAAATTGTAAGGCATTATCCTGACTTTCTAATATAGTTGGTTTGAACCTCTCCACAAAAGAAAAATAAAATATATCTTACAGCTATTTATTTCTAAGGGGAAAAGCCTCAAGTGAATCCCATCACCTCTAATTACAGATTTTGTATGATTCTGGAGATACAACATCCCAGAGGATATTTAAAGACCACCCCACTAGTTTTAATTAAAATAATATCTGACATGTTCGCACTCTAACCAGATAAAGGAGTATGAGTTCTTTGAAAAATGTTTGAGACTTTAACTACTGGCACATACATTGTGCAATTTGTTATTTCCACATGAAAACTTGCCTCAGGGAAAACAGGGTTAAAATGTGCATTGTGAAGACTCAGAAAAAGTTGGCAGTATTACAACTTTAGAGACTTTGGTTTTTAGAAGTGACCAACTTTAAATTGTTAACTTTCTCACTCAGTCTCCCCACATGAAAATGAACAAACCAAAAAGAAAAAACTTGCAGGCAGCTGTGTTTGTAACCCTTGGTTGGAAAAAAGCAACAACCTTCATATTCTTTCATAGTAGCCTTCCTTGGATGACCAGATGTTTCAGGGGAGTAGTAAAACAGTACTAAGACTTTTCACCTCTAGGTGACTAGTTCGAATCTAACTCATGCTAGTGGCAGGAGAAAGCTGTTATTTTCCAATAGCTGTTTGATGAGCTATGAGTTTGTGGTTTCAATCCAGTTTCTAGTTAGTCCACATCACAAAAAATGCTAACTCAAGCATTCTTTTATCCCTCTTAGCAGTGTCCGCAGAAAGATCAGAGCTGAATGGGCATGAAGAGTGAACAATTACACACGGAGAGGGTATCCTCCCTATCAGGTTTGAGGAATATTGTCAGGTTGCACTGTCCCCAAACTGGACGATCTTACACACAGTAGCATAGATCTAATTTTAAAAAGGATGGATTACAGAGGCAATTTCAGATCTACACAAGAGTTTCCTTGTATTTGTGGGTTTCAAGTCAGATTGTTAATCCTTCTTTTAACAATTCTGTGGTTTATTCATATACTTATCTGAAATCTGGAACAAATGGTTATATATTTTAGCATTCAGCATTTTATAGCCTTCACGGTGTGATACAGGCATAAAAAGTACGAATATGCAGCCGTTCACAATGAAAGCTGCACATATTGTTGCTTCTAATGAATATGTGCATCAGCTGAAACTTGCTAGTCCCATGCACTAGGTTCACATTTATTCAGCTAAAGAGTTACATAGGGAACCAGGCAATTTAAAGTAACAGTACTCACAATCTTTTCTTATCTACCATTCGTTTGACTCGGATGGCTCTTTGTTCAGAGTACAGCTTACACACTCCTGTTCAAAAATGTCAAGAAGAGCAGAAAAAAACGTAGTTAGACGACCATGATTTTCTCTCAGAAATTATCAGTATGATCTTAAAAATATGAAAATAAAGAGGTTGACAATATTGTACAATCAAATAATTATTCACTTTGAACTGTTATACATTTGTAGAAAAACATGCATAAGGTACTTTTTAAATAATCTTCAATGAAATCCAAGACAGCTGCTCTGTGCTCCCTCACTTGTGGGGATTGGACGTTCTTGTGTGCTGAAATGAAAAATTTCAAGATAATATTTTACACTTTGTGTTGAAGAATATGAAAGCCTACCTTTTCAGTTTTCCACAGAATATACTCTTTATATACAACTTTATATTTCCAAAAATCTATTAGTATATTTTAAGAAATTAAATTTATATCTTCACAATAGCAGTTAAAGAAAATAAAAAATAGTATCACGTAGTTTACCTTTTATCATTGCTCGTAGATAGTTTCTTCAGGTTCCCTAGTTATGTGTCAATTACATTTGTATTAAAAATAGACTTTTGCTGAAGCTAAGCTTAAAGAGACAAATCTAAAGACTCAACTTGCCTGTAACGTACTAGACTATAGACTCTCCAGGATAGAGATTGTCTTGATATTTATGTCTTGCCCAGTGCCAAGCACCAATTTGGCCCTTAAATATTTATGTTTTTTATTTTAATAACATATAGCTCCCATGGCTACATTACAGAAATACATTTCTTATTAGTGCTGCAGATGTGTATCTATCTATCTATGGAAGCTTAAATTTGATGCAAACCTTTGGTACACTTATCACATATTAGGAAAGACCGGCTTTTTAGCAAGTCAACCTAGGGTTATCCAACCCTGACACAGTATGCCCACCCATTCCTTGAATTTATCTTTACCATGTGTTCCAGTCTCCTCTCTTAATAGTCTACTCCCTGTGCTGATGGTCCTCTTTGGAATGCTCCCATTGGCATTAGTTATAAATCGGGCTTCTAATTTTAAGATTTTAACCAATAAACACAGATAAAACCTCTCAGATACAAAAAATGAAATTGGTGTTTATACAATAAAGACAAGAAATAGATACTTGTTTCTAAGGGCTTGTCTACACAGAGCAGTAATACAGACTACAGAAGTGTGATTTCTAATGTGCACTAAAGTGTTGCAAATTAACTGGTCCATGCAGATCCTGCTGGTGAGCACTAAGGGTACCCCAGTGTGCTTTAATGTAGTGCTGTTTGAAACAGTACTATGTTAAAGAGCATATGAAATATTACAAACAGATTACTCATTACAGTATATTTGAGTAAAATATACAAAGAATGTATACAAAGAGAGCCCCAACCTCCCCTCCCTCAATTTTTGGACATCTACATAAAACTCAAAAATTGCTAAAAAGAATCCCCCCCAAATAAAATTAATAAACCCCCAAAATCAAAACCCTAGTTAGAAATTATCTTTTATCAGTTCAATCAATTTTGTCCTCTTCTTGTAGCTTGACCTGTCATGACTGACCATGACCTTGGACATGCCACGTACTGACATGACTTGGTGCATGCAATCAAATCAATTTTAAAAAGGCAAAAGAACACTCAGGTCATGAACCCTCATAAAATATATCCTGCAAGGCTTTCATCTGGATATCAGAAGCTTCTTCCTCATACTATCAAGATTGGCCATATTCCTTTACAAACTCAGTATCCAGCAGTGGCCACAATATTCCAAGCGTGCTATCAAGAAAACTTTGCATAATGAAACCATTGTCACTTAGTTGTATACAACTAATTCTTCTTGGCTTGTCTATATGAATGTTTAGTTTGTGGCAAGCGGGGGTGTGAATCTACTAACAGTTCCCTAGTGCACTTTGATCTACCCCGCTTTGAACCAGGAGTAGATTTAAGACAGTGGTGGGCAACCTGCGGCTCATCAGGGTAACCTGATTGCGGGACGCAAGACATTTTGCTGATGTTGACCATCAGCAGGCATGGCCCCCCGCAGCTCCCAGTGGCCACGGTTCGTCATTCCCAGCCAATGTTTACTCAAACAGATGTACATCAAAAATAATTCCACTGAAGTCAATGGAGTTACCAGGGTTTAAGTGAATGGAAAATTAAACCCTATGTATCTTTCTTTTTAAAGGTTGCTCAGAATATTGTTCAACCTTCAAAGTCATATCAGCATTTATCATTAACTCTTCAATAATTAACATAATCCATTTACCATTTTATTAATTTTACCTTCTGTTCTCAGCTGTTGAATGGCATCAGCACATGTCCTCATAAATATTTGAGCATCTTGATCAATCTGATCACGTTCTGGGTCTGTCATCCTAATGTATTCAGACATAAGATGGCTGAGGAAAAAAATGAAATACTATCATTTTTTTAAAATCCTGTATAATTTATAAATGTATGTTTTGACCTTCCTTTCTCTACTTCTCTTCATTGAGATGTATTTATTTATTTATTTTTGTGTCAAGTTATTCAGCCTGATTTTCATAAAGACCAAGAAGGTGCAATGGGCCACTCTCAAAGTACAATACCCAGCATACTGGTGGAATATCACTAAAAAACAGTCACCTACCTTTCTGTGACTGTTGTTCTCCGAGATGTGTTACACGTCTATTTCACTGTGGGTGCGTGCATGCCTCGTGCGCAGTTGTCAGAGAACTTTTTCCCCTCTTCAGTACCTATCAGGGCAGCTTGAGCGCCCTGGGCCGTCGCATGCCACTGCATGCATGTATAAGAGGACAGAGCCACCCCGACTCCCTTCTTACTGGATAGACTCCGATAGAGAGGAGGAGGAGAGTGGGTCATGGAATGGACATGTGCAACACATTTAGAAGAACACCACTTACAGAAAGGTAGGCGTGACCGAACGTACCCCTGTATTCACCACTATAGTAATAATCTTTGTACAAAATAAGCCTTGCGAGGTAGCATTTGAAAATTAACTACTCACTAGTCAGTAAGATCATGGTGAAATGTGTGTAGCAACACTATAGGTAAAGTTATAAACATAAGGGGAAATTATGACTCAAGGTGTTTACCAGACAAGTTTGGAGGGTGGGTAAAACAGTTTCTCAAAGTTGACACCTCTAGCCAGGTGTCATCAAAGCTGATGGGCAATCACCTGTCATGTGGCCATGCTTTGGCAAGGAATGGGGGCAGGAACAAACAGATCTGCATTTTAGCAAACAACAGCATGGAACCTCTTACACCACAAGACTCCTTGTCTCCGTCCTCACAGCAGGAATTAACTTTATCTCAGGGTAACCCTTCAAGGAAATGCATTTCAAAGGGGGACTGGACTACAAAGTGAGGGGTAAAAACACCTCATGGTATCTCTTCCTATCCATCTCTCTCTCTCTCTGACCTAAGACAACAAAAGGAAGCAGCCATTTGACTTTTGGAGAGAACCTGACCTGAAATTTGGACAGCCGTGTTGTTGGGATCATGTGGTAAGGATCTGATCTTGAACCAAGTCTAATTTGTTAAGTTTTAGCACAAGAAGACATTTTCTCTTTATTTCTCTTGTAATCATTTCTGACTTTAATGCCGTATGGTTGTACTCACTTAAAATCTCTCTCTTTGTGGTTAAATAAACTTGTTTTCTTCTTGAATCAAACAAATCCAGTGTTACATTCAAACTGAATTGTTTGGGTAACCCCATTTAAAGTAGCAAACTGTTGGACATTTTTCCCTTACAGGGGCAACAAACCTAAAATATTTTAACTTTCCAGGAAAGGGCTGGACATTGCAAAACCCACATTTTGAAGGAAAATTCAGGACTGGGAGTGTGTTGGGATCACCCTCCAAGTAGTAACTCAGGCTGGTGGAAGCCAGAGTGTGACTGGAGTATGCTGGCAGGCTGCAGCTATACACAGACACTCAGGGAGTTACCTACATTCTGTTTGGCTGTTTGTGAGGGGCTCAAATTGGGAGCTACATCTGCAAAGCATTGTGAGGTACCCCAGGCTGCAGGGCAGGCAGTGACACAACCCCTCACTGGCTGGATTGTACCCCGGAATGTCATAGTAGGTAAATATTTTTTCTTCTTTGAATGATTGCACGTGCCCATTTCACTGTAGGGGAATCACAAGCAGTTTAACATGGAGAAGGGATCGGAGTCTACCTGAACAGTGATTGTAGAACAACCCGTCAGAAATTGGCTCCATTCCTACACTGACTGGAAATGGCATAATGAGCAGCAAAAATGTGAACCGATGACCAAGTTGTTGCTTTGCAAATGTCTTAAATAGGTACTTGCACAAGGAAAGCTGCTGAAGCTGCTTGAGTGGGCAGAAGCTCTAGGAAGTGACAGGATATTCGTTAACTGGTAGCACAAATGAATGCAGGAAGAAATTCACTAAGGGGAAGCCAGTTGGCCTTTCATCTTGTCTGCAGTCATGACAAATAACTTACACTGAGGATCCAAAGGACCCAGTGTGGTCCCCCCAGCCCAGACGAGTAGCTGGAAGACAGATGCATACCCAAGGACATGCTATATGGGGAGCTATCAGAGGGAACAAGAACAACCAGACATCCCAGGCTTCGCTATAAAGACACATGCAAGCGAGATATGGAGGAATTTTGAATTGCTCCCAAACAAAGGGAAATCTTGGCAAGTGATCATAACAAGTGGCGCCATTATCTCCATCAGGGTATCAAAGTCCATGACAGGAGCTGACTCCTACAGCTTGAAGAGAAAAGTGCCCACAGGAAGCAAGCAACTCCCAACCAAGACACACGTATTTGCAACTGCCAAAGATCATGCAAATCTCGGATTCGACTATTCAGTCATATGGGACATTGAAAACCATTTACATCATAGGCTGCAATTCCCACCGTCTCTCACTGATGAAAGGATGCCAATATCAGCGTGGTCCAAGTAGAAGGCTAACACTCTTAACATCCAATGAATGAAGTTTATCCTCATCTCTATGTATGTGAGGCTTTGGGAAGAAAACTGGCAAATAATTTGCTTGGTTAATGTGGAAATTGGAAACCACCTTTGTCAGGAATTTTGGGTGGAGGTGGAGGTAAACTTTATCCTTCTAGAAAACTGTACAAGGAAGTTCTGAGACTAAGGCTCTCAGCCTGCTGAGGTTACCACAACCATAAATGCCACCGTCAGAAAGGTGGAGTACGGAGCAAGACACAAAAGGTTCAAAGTGTGATCCCATTAATTTTGCTAGCACCAGGTGGAGATCCCCTGGAGGAACAGGTTCTTGTGCCTGTGGGTATAACTGTCTAACCCTTCTAGAAATCTGATATTGGGACTGCAAAAAAGCAATCTATGACTCACTGAAGGATGGAAAGCTGAAATTGCTGCTAAATGTACTGTAGCAGAACGGTCAGACCTTGATGTTTTAGGTGCAACAGATAGCCCTAAATGTGGTTGATGGAGGCTTGCACTGAAGAGACATGTTTCTGTTGAGCCAGATAGAAAAACATTTCCATTTAGCCAGGTAAGTACACCTAGTTGAAGCCTTTCTACTATTCAGAAGTAATTCCTGAACGTCTTCTGAGCAAGCCCTTTCTAATGGTGTTAGCCAGGAAGCATCCAGGCTGTCAAGCTTGCAGATTGCAGTGGAGCAGATGGCCCTGGTCCTGAAAAATCACATCTGGGTGCAACAGAAAAGGCAGACGAGATCTCATTGACAATGCTAGTAGGGTTGAGAACCAGTGTTGTCAAGGAAACGCTGGTGCTCTCAGTACGAGGTAAGCATCGTCCTGTTTGGTCTTGAACAAGACTCTGGGAAGTAATGGTATCAGAGGACAGGCATAGAGCACAGAGTTCTTTCATGGTAGCAAGAAAGCATCCATTAATGAACTCGGACTGTGATGCCCCCAACCCTCCTCCATGGAGCGGAACTGATGGCGCTGAAGGTGGACTAGATGATGGTCACAGCAGACAGTATTTGAATCTCGGATTGGCCTCTCACTAGCCTGTCATCCAGGTAGAAGAACACATGGATCCCCAACCTCCGAAGATATGCATCTACCACCATCATCATGCACTCTGTGGGGGGCTGCTTATAGGCCAAACAGAAGTACTGCAAATTGGTAGTGGCTTCCATTCACTATGAACCTGAGAAATTTCCAGTAGTCTGAACAGATCTTTAAGTTGAGGCCAGCAGGGAAGGAGTAATAGAAACTAGGGTAACCATGCAGAACTTTATTTTCCTCAGGTATTTGTTTCACTCAGATCTAAAATAGGCCTGAGATTGCCTTTTACTTTGTGAATAAGGAAACAGCAGGAATAAAAACCTTTCTCCCTGAGAAACAGAGGAACTTCTGCTATGGCGCTGTGACACTCTGTACCTCAGGGGAACACCCTGCACGCCCATGTTCATCCTTATAACATGATTGTGTGGTAACCAATACAAAGTTTGTCATGTCAGGTATCTTTGGAAGGCTCATGGTGCACTGCACACTGTTGTTATAGTAATGTATATAGTTATGAGGCTGAAAATGTGTCCTCATGGCTTAAAACAAGCCCAAACAAAACTCTCCAGGAGCAGAGGGGCAGTTCACACCTCATCAGGGTACGTATGGGACAAAGCCAGCCCGGCCCTACAGGAACAAAGGACACTAGCCTAGGCAGCAACAAAGGATCTGTTGGACTCTTGAGTGAGTCACCCCTCTTTCCTTGGTCAGTTTGGGACTATAAGGTAATGTTCACCTGATTCTGATGGGGTCGGGACAGGGGAGCAAAACCTAGGGAAGAAAGAACATGATAAAAGGGAGAGACTTTTGCCATGCTCTCTCTCTTCCAACTCCATCTACAGACACCGCCAACAAGCGACTAAAGCACTGACCAAAGGGGAAAGCCTAGCTGAAGGGCAACCAGCCAGCATATGGTGAGAAGCATCTAAGTTTGTAAGGGCACTGAAAGTGTTAAGATCAGCTTAGAATGTGTTTTGCTTTTATTTCTTTGACCAAATCTGACTTGTGCATTGACTTATAATCACTTAAAATCTATCTTTTGTAGTTAACAAATTTGTTTGTTTATTCTACCTGAAGCAGTGCCTTTGGTCTGAAGTGTGTCAGAGACTCCCTGTGGGATAACAAGCCTGGTACATATCAATTTCTTTGTTAAATTGACAAACTCATATAAACCTGCAGCATCCAGAGGGCGTAACTGGACACTGCAAGACCGAGGTTCCTAGGGTTGTAACTGGGACCGGAGATATTGGCTAGTGTCATTCAGTTGCACAATCCAAGCAGCGGTTAGCCAAAAGTGCTCACTCACGTAGCTGGGAGCAGCTTACATGCCAGAGGCTGTGCGTGAACAGGCCGGGAGTGGGGGTTCTCACAGCAGAGCAGGGTAAAGCTGGCTCCCAGAGTC